GGGGAAGGATTGCATGGAGGGGATTGTAACCATGGCAATGAGACTACGATAGAATGAATATAAAACTAATGTTCTCCCATGTAAACGATCACATAATTCACAATAAAACATTTAAGGAAAAAAAAAAAAGATAGGCATTGTGATACTGTTATGTATCAGAAGATGAAAAATAATACATGGTTGATACCAGATGACTGCTAAATATTGAAAAATACATTAGGATTCACTTCAATAAGTGTTCTTTTAGGGCTGTGCTTCTGTCCTGCTTTAGGTTCAATTAACTACCCTTCCTAACTTTTTCTTCCCCGAGTCTTGATTTTCTACTCTTTAAAAATGTGCAGGTTCAAAATGGGAAAAAATCTTTTGCAATGACGCATCAGACAAGGGACTATTTTCTAAAATATATAGGAAACTACAACACATCTATAAGAAAAAGACAAATAACCCAATTAAAAAATGGGCACAGGACATGAACAGACACTTCACCAAGGAGTACATCTGGGCAGCCAACAAACACATGAAGAAATGTTCACAATCACTAGCCATTAGAGAGATGCAAATCAAAACAACAATGAGATATCATCTCATATCAGCAATACCAGTAAAGATAAAAAAGTTGAGGACAATAAACGCTGGAGAGGATGCGTAGAGACTGGGATCCTCCTACATTGCTGGTGGAATTGAAAAATGGTCCAACCACTCTAAAAAAAATATGGCGTTTCTTCAGAAAGTTGGAAATAGAAATACCTTATGATCCAGCAATTTCTCTACTTGGTATTTATCCATAAGACATACATAACACGAATAGATATATGCACACCAATGTTCATAGCAGCACTATTTACAATAGCAAAAGATGGAGGCAGCCTAAGCGCCCATCAATGGAAGAATGGATAAACAAACTTTGGTAAGGTACATACACACAATGGAATATTATGCTACTTTGAAGAATAACAAGGAAGCTGCAAGACACCACATAACATGGATGAATCCTGAGGACATTACGTTGAGTGAAATTAGTCAGTCACAAAATGAGAAATACTTCATAGGACCCTTATTGTAAAAGCTTAAGAAAAAGTACCCATACTAAAAGGGGAAAAAAAATTTCTTTGCTGGTTACCCGGGAGTATGGATGGGGTGGGCTGAGGGGAGGGAGGGGAAGGTGGAGCACAGGGTAGGGAATAGACACAGGATAGTTTGGGTGCTGGGGGGGAGGGGGCAGCAATACACAAGAAGGGAGAGGGAAATGGAAGAACAAGGTGGATGGGAGAACATGTAGGCAGGTTTGCATCAGCTAAGTGGGGCGGAGGTAATTAATGATGTATGCTCAACCTTGGAACAACAGGGCTCTGGGATACATGGATTGAGGCATGGTTTGACTGGATAACAGAGGGGAAATAATATTAGGATACTTGGCTGTCTTTTGATTCTTGGTTTCCCTTGCCTACTGTTGTAAAATAGACATTTGTGGGAGAAAGAAAGGAATAGCCAGAAACATCACCATACAAAGCTCGTAAGTCTGTCTTCAACCTATAACTAACTGATTGGAATACCTAAAATGGGGCTAGAACTTGCCCAGGGAAGGAGGCTTCCTGAGGAACCTTTGTACTGCATAAGACCATAGTGGAATCCAGATCCCCAACCAGAATTTTCTGAGGTGGCAAATTTCCACTTGAACGGAAAAGCAGACCAGCCTGGAGCGGCTAGAAGAACAGAAGAAACTTCTTGAAAGAAAAGACCGACAGGAAAAATCAAAAACAATAACGGCAGTCCGAATGACTACTACAAGAACAAGCAAGCTGTTCGCCTGGGAGCCATCAAGGCAAGCGGCAGGTTCCATTCAGGGCAACCCCCTTCCAAGACTGAGACTCAAGGGTAATACACGAGTAAGCATGTGGTTTTACTGGTGACCACGTTGGTCACCGGAAGGAGGAAGTGGGGGAAAAATAGCAATGACATTGTGAGTTAAGTCCGACCATGTTCAATAGACTCCTGTCAACCTGGGTTGAGACCTGGTTAGCCAACAGTATGGTGAGACCTGGGGACCCTTGGGCTCAGAGACAGGGGCATTGCCACAGAGGACAAGAGCAGAGAGTGAAGCGTCCAGTTGATATGAAATGAGGGGAGATGCACAAGAACACCCACACTCACAGATAGTACCCACTTGATCTGTTTTCAATGTCTGGATGATCAGAACTCGACTGGAGGAAGAAAGAAGAGGAAAAAAGAGTAATCTGCTACAATTTGATGAACTTGACCTACACATATGGATGCAGTAGCTCAAAAGAGGGAACAAATCTTTACAGCGAGGATCATTCCCACCCCCACAATACACAGGGTTGACAGGGATAGGCAACTTAGAAACTGGCTACCCCCCCAAAAAAAGGGGGGGGGGGCTACAAGGGCAAGAAGTGACTGGCTTACAAGCTTTCAAGAGGGAGCCTAGTTCCAGAGGGTGCGGGGGAAGGTAGAATCTCCACTGAGTGATTTCCAACCTGTCTGCTGATGAAAGGAGACAGGGATAAGACTTGTGGTTCAGTAGTGAATAAAAGCAGTGACACCACAGATGGAGGCAGAGACAATGACGTGGAGCGATGGAGTGGCTGGGGACTCTGGACTCAGAGGGAGGGGCTGTGTGCTGACGGCTGGAGGGCAGACTTGTGGGGTGTACCCTTTGGTTGTTTGATGATGCACAGAGGGGACTGTAATCATTGCAATGAAATGAAATACGATAGGATGACTATAAAGCTGATGTTTCCCATGTAAACTATAACTCAATTCACAATAAAAATAAATAAATAAATAAATAAAAATTTTATAGGTTTAGGCAAGCAATCAAGTTCCTGCAGGGCAAACCCCCTCTCCAAGATTGTAACTCAAAGGGAACACATGAGCAGGCATGTTAAGACTGCTGGTGATCATGTTCGTCTACTGGTGAGTGGAAGAGGGGTAAAGGCAGCAATGAAGATATAGGCTGAGTTTGACCACATTCCACAGACTCCCATCAAGCTGGAGATGAGAGAGAGAAGAGGAAGGGCTGGTTGGTCTAAAGTGTGGTGAGACCTGGGGACTCCTGAGCTCAGGTACCAGGACATAGCCATGAGGGCTAGAGCTAAGACTGAAGTGTACAACTGATATGAAGTGAGGGGAGATGTACAAGAATGCCACACTTGCAGATAATACCCATTTGACCTAGCCTCGATAGCTTGATGATCAGAATTCAACTAGAGGAACATTAAAAAAACTATTTTTGATCAAGGAAACAAGTGTAAAGTGCTACAATTTGATGAACTTGACCTACACCTATGGATGTAGTAGGTCAGAATGTCAACTGAGAGGGAAGCAGTCTTCACATCAAGTGTCAATTCTATTCCCTCTGTATACAGGGTTGATAGGGATGGGCAACTTAGACATTGGCTACCTAAACTGGGTAGCTATAAAGGTATGAAATGACTGGCTTATAAGTTTTCAAGAGGAGGTTTAGTTTCAGAGTATGCAAGGGAAGGTAGAATCCCCACTGAATACGTTTCATCTTGTCTAAATGGGTCTGGTGAAAGGAGATGGGAATGAGATTCTTATGATTGAATAGTGACTAATTGTTAATCATGACTAACTGCAACTGTCACAACTGTAAAGATAGCTTTATTAACAA